CAGTCCCAGCTCCGCATTGCCCCCCCCCATCAATGTCAACTGTCATTCGCGAAATCACACGGTCCGGTCATACGGCCGGCGCCATACTCCAGAAGGGCGCCGAGGTATAAGAACCGACCGTGACCGGATGACCGGACCGGCCGGCCGGATGACCGGGCGGACCCTGATCAGCCGGATGAGCGTGATCGGACAACCCGGATCGATCTGACCGGAGAAACGGATCCGGTTGAACGGACCGACCGGGCTGACCGGACTGACTGGGTTGACTGGTCGACCGTGCCACTGGAAGTAGTAGTAGTAGTAGTAGTAGTAGTAGTAGTAATAGTAGTAGTAGTGGTGGTAGCAGTGTGCTGAAGAATGTTGTTCTCTTCGTTGCATTTGGTTGGAATGGCCGTTGCCAGAGACTCGCTCGCACGTTGCAACTGAGAGTTGAAAGCACTTTCAAAATCTGGACATTGTACTGCCAGCGCCCGGCAACGCACTCTGGCCTTGGACAACACCGTGTGGCCATCTTCGTCCAGTTCGATTGCATCTATGGCAGCCAGCAAATCTTGCGAAACGGCAGGAACAGAGGCCCCATCCAAATGCTCGTCCATATCTTCAGATGCCTGGCTGTCACGTTCAGGATCTTCACCGATGTCTGGCATCGCCGAATCACGCTGGGTAGAGTTTTCGTGTGCTGTGGCTGCATGAGGTAGCTGACCTGAACCTGAGGATCCACCGATGTAATCGCAGCTCTGGCTTGCAAGCTGCAGCCGGTGAGCTTCCAGAATCGCGTTTACCTCCAACTGCATGTCTGGCACGCAATCAATGAAAGGACCTTCTTCCTGGTTGTCGGGATGAAGGCCGACAACGTACATAGCAGACACACGCAAGCCATAGTACTTCTCGATTAGGTACTTGTACAAGTTCAATTGCAAGCGATAATGTATGCCGGCACAATCGTCCAGATGAGAAAGAGGTTGTTTCATGGTGGCCACGGAGACACATACTTCCTGCGTAGCTGCTTTGTACGCTTCCAGTCGAACAGGATAACATCCGACGAGGGTGTCTGAGCCACGAAGTCTATGCACCCAGCCAGCTGTTCTTCCTCGCCATAGACACACCATTCGGAGCGGAAAGCGATCAGCTTTGGCATCTGCTAAAGAAATGTTGAAAAGAGTTGCAACTCCACTTTGTTCTCATGGACTTTGACTCCGTTGAGAAGAACCTCCAACAACAACCATGTACCTCCTGGCAGCAGCCTCAGTTGCATTTGCTTTCCAAAGGTCCTTGATTTGGGGTGGGCTCATTGGAACCAGCAGGCCGCCATGCTCGACAGAGTATCCTGGCCGAGGCCAGCGTCTGCTCTGCATCATGCACTGAATCGCCTTGTCAGCGTCAAACTCTGCTGCGAAAGTATGCACTAAGCCCGTCACAGACAAAGGAATCTTGCATTCTCGCAAATAATCGGTGTGCGTCTTCTCGACGAAACGTATTGAGTCGTCTCTGGGGTGTTTATGTGCCAGACGCAATAGATCACAACTCACAGAAGGAATAGTAAATTCCAGAAAGTTCGTCGGGCATTCGTCTAGAACTGGTAGCTTCAACGGAATTCGTGCTGGTAGGGGAAGCCGAATTTGCGAGGTTCCGCGCCGGTATGTCGTCGGACAGCACAAGGGGCTCATGGACGCCTGCCAAGTTCGGTTGAACTCAGACTCCAGCTGGACATATCCCTTGTTGATGGCGTCGTCATTGTCTCTGCTGCAACGACGTCGGCGAAGAGCCTCCTGCCGGTGCAAAGTCAGGCGTAACCACTGTTCTGGCGTCACTGCAGTGGATGTTGTCGATCCTCTTGCATCGGGGCGCGGCTCATCTCTGCAACTTCCGCCAATGTAGTCCAGCAGTTGATTTGGGCAACGTGGACATCAACGTGTCGGCTGCTGCCCAACATGGGCTGCACACAGCCAAATGTTGCAAAGCGGGCACACACACCAGCGAGGCATGAGCAGCCCGGATTCCCTGTTACAAATGACGCAAGTGATGGTAGCTGTCATCTGTACCGGAAAACGTATCGGGCGAAATTGAACCAGGTTGAGCAGGTTCGGGGCGGGACGGGCGAAAGCCCAGACAAACAGCTTGGACAAAGCACCTGGAGCAGGCGGTGCTCCTTCCCGAGACCGGGCAGTTGCGATGCGGACGCCGTCCAACATGATCTCGAAAAGCCTGGTGTGCCAGCAGACACTGAATCGGTGAACACGATTCGGTTGCAAGCGAATGGGTCGGCGACTTACTTGCGGCTGCGGCGGAAGGTCAGCCAGGCCAAAGGAAGCCATGACACTCTCCAGGAAGACGTTGTCGATCCTGCAGTACGCTTGCCTGCGTCTGCTCAAATCGCACCAATCACGCACGCCAACGTAGATGCCGACGACATTTTCAGGCAGTATAACATCGAATACGGCCGCGCCCATGAGTGGACTGGACGACTCGAAGCCAGCCATGCGCCGGAAGGCCGCAGGGCCCGGCCCTCCAACGACGCCTGTTCCGGTCCACTCCAGCATCACGTTGGTAGGCCAAACGTGGAACATGGCCAGCTGACGAATGTTGGCGGTGACCAGGCGTGCGCACATGTAGGCCTCCATCATGTAACGCAATTTGGCGGGATCCTCGAACTCCTCTGCATTGACCGAGACACGTCTGCCTCGCCAACGCCGCCGATCTTGAACGGCACGCAACATTTTCGTACAGGTGCATGCCAACATTCTCAGGTAGTCGAAGGAGAAGTAAAACCCTGGCAGATCAAGCAGCAGTTAAGCCTCCTCCTTCGTAGTCTGAGCTGGAGTTCTGTCGGTCCTGAGGCTGCGCTGCATTCTCTGCAACATCGTAGAAACTACGGGCCGACAAATCGAAAGTTGGATACCAAAAGCCTTCTTCACTGTCAGAATCATCTCCTGCGGGAGTTATTTGCTGCACCTGTTCGAGCTCCTCCAAGATCACCCTCGGACACCAGATGACGCCATCATGGCTGTATGAGTCTGGTGGAAGGGGGCGCAATGGAAGGGGCTGACGCAGGAAAGCATCGTCATCACGCTCCACATTGATCAGGCGCTGGGTCATCGAAGTGAATCTCCCTCACGAAACTGGTAAGATCTGCAGCAGCCGCATCCACAGTCTTCCCACCCGAATAATCGCAAGGAGGAGGCTCTTGCTGCGGTGTTGGAACAAGAGGCCCGTTCAGAACTGCCAAGCTGCGGCGCACGCTCCACAAGTTCCTCTCCCAAGCCCTCTTCGAGATGAGAGGGTCAACTGGTGACAGGGCTAGAGTTACGTCCACCGTCTCCCCACGCTCCATCAGGCGAAGCATAACCCGAGTCCAAGCGATCACACATGCAAGAGGCAACATGAGCACAACCCTAAGTGCAAGCGGACCTTTTCCTGGACTGCACCAGAAGGTGAGTCTTGAGTAATCATATGCTGCGGGTGAAACAAAGTCGGCATGATCCTATCAAGATATCAGAGCGTACGTTTACACGAACCCTTGACAAATCACACTTAACATGATTATTTTACAACAGCGTTTCTGGGCGCTCGGGTCCGCACAACGCTGCCATACTGATATGCCGTGCCTGCCGTGTTTTTCTACGTCTGAATGGACACACAGCGCAGCGTCAAATAGGAGCAGAGCAAGTACTACTACTACTACTACTACTACTACTACTACTACTTCCAGTGGCACGGTCGACCAGTCAACCCAGTCAGTCCGGTCAGCCCGGTCGGTCCGTTCAACCGGATCCGTTTCTCCGGTCAGATCGATCCGGGTTGTCCGATCACGCTCATCCGGCTGATCAGGGTCCGCCCGGTCATCCGGCCGGCCGGTCCGGTCATCCGGTCACGGTCGGTTCTTATACCTCGGCGCCCTTCTGAGTCACTGGTCCTCTCTTCAGTGGCCTTTGCTGATTCGCGCATTGATTGACCTGCCGTTCTTCAGCCACCTCTCGACATTAGTGCCAGAACATGGCTGCTTGTTCTCGACGGGACGTTTAGCACACTCGGCAAACCCGTTGAGGTCAAGCATCCCCAAGATCGGAGCTCGGCGCGAGCTCTTCTGAAGGGAATCAATGCAAACGAGCAACGATGATGATGTTGGTGATGTATGCCTTGCACAGCAAGTGTCCGATAGTTGCACTCTTTAGAGCGTTCTTGCCCGCGCACCTTCTTCTGAGCTTCGTCTTTCAAGCTTCGCATATACTTCCTAGGTGACTCTGACATGCTCCGAATCTTCTGCGCATGGATCTGGGAAAGAACAGGAATCAGCCGAGCGTCGTGTCTCGGCTCCATCGGATGGCATGGTTCTTTACCTCAGCGTAAAGGCAGGCCAGCGCAGCGCAAGAGACGCACACCACCACTACAGCGAGCCCAGTGGCCTTCACCATCATCATGACGCCTTCGCCCGTAAACAGTGTAAGCGCAGGCGTCTCAGACTGCGCGCATCTCTTACATTCAAGCCGGTTTGTCCGGGCGCCCAACCGCGAGCTGTGCGCCAGCGGGAAGCACCGGAGGGTCCATGGGATGCCTCAGCTGAAGGCATGCTGAAGGCTGTGCAGGGCCCGGGTCTTCCAAAGTCTGAGGGCCCGGCTGACAAGGCCTCAGAACTCTGAGGACTCTGAGGATCATGACCTGCCGACAGGTTTTGCAGTCCCATGGTGCCGTCCTGGGAACGGCTCCAGGACTGAGCCCGCGGGCTTAGCAGAGGCTCCGAAGGCTGAGAGGCCGCCATCGACAGCGAGGCTTCAGCAGGGAACGCTTTCGATAGCAGCTACGGAAAGGATGTGTTAGTGTTGCGTTCAGGTAACTTGGTGTCGCCATTCCTGCTGCTACAAGTACTGTTGATATCGGAGGGAGCTTCTTGGATAGGGTCACGCGTCAGCAGCTCGAGAGCCCAGATGCACTTTGCTCGAAGCACTCCCAAGAAAAGGAAGGACAGCACTCAGCACCCTGGCAGGAAGGGCAGCTCAAGGCACCTCCGGCTCGAACCGCTCGACGGAAGGAGTCGGCTCGAAGCCTGTGGCCGTCGCGTGGCGTCTCACGTGCAAAAAAAACCTCGGCAGCTCTGTCTCAGCTCTGCCTGGGCCCTTCTTTGGGGGTCGCCAGGGCTCGAAGAAGGGCTCTCGGGCCGCGCGCCGCCTTCAGAAACCGGCTGTTGTGTCCACTTTGCATCCCCACGAACCCAAGCGGCTGAGTGCTGGGCAAAATCTCCACGGAATGCTCGGCAAAACAAAGGACACGCCGATCGACCTGCAAAGGGCCAAACGAACAGTCTCTGAAGCGTGGCTGCCAACCTTTGCTTTGTTACGTCTTGCAAGCAGAGCCGACCATTAGATCGAAGCCTGTTACAGGCAAGGAGGTATCGACTCTGTGAAAGCCGTGCGCGACCATGGCAAGACGATTCGCGTGGACCCCAAGTTCGACCAGACAGAATCCAAAACTGCACCACCGCGTGCCACTCTGCACCCGTGTTTCTCACCACCGGATCTCACAGGATCGGGGTACACATGTTAGAGAGCTCGACCCACCAAAGCCTGACACAACACGGCAGCCCCAGACCCAACCTCCTCCAGCGCTGGGCGGTGCTGGCTTTCTCCTGGCGCTTTCGTCATGGAAGCTGGCACTTTGGAGTGACGTCAGCTCCTGCGAGCAGGGCTTCCTTCAGGACCGACACATGCGCCTCGGTCAGGCGAGACGGACTTCACAAACTTCACAACCCGCAATCAGTGACACTGCTTGGCTCTGCACGAGCAGTGTGAGCGAAAGTGCCGCAGCCACGTTCCCTTCCAGCGGACCTTGGGACTGAGGGAGGTGTGGAAAAGCAAAGCCACTCGAGTTCCAAAAACATATCGAAACCCTTTTAGGTTTTTAAGTCTTGATGAGAAACCCGGTAAGGAACCCCCATCCCGGAGTCCCAAGCCTTGGTTTATCTGGGACCATCTACGGATCTACACTTCACAACCGCTCAGTACGCAGAAGCTGGGCCCCGAGCTGCTCCTCGCAAAGAGGAAGGCCGCCTCTGCGAGCTCCTCGGGCCGCCAGGCGCCTGGTGGCCCCCAGAGAGGACGGCAAGAATTGCAAACAAGCCATCTTTTCCCTCAGCTCCCTCCGACTCTTCTGAGTTCCCGAAGCCTCGGACGAAGCCGGGCCGAGGAAGCCGCGGCCTGGGCCGAGTCGGAGAGCCGGCTCGCCGGCGGAGCACCCAAAAAACGGGAAGAAGGCTCAGCTACAACAGACCCCGCTTTCCCGTTTTGGGGACCCGGCACCCAGTCGCGCAGGTGGTGCGGAGGCCGGGTCTTCACCTGAAATGGCCCCAACGGAAAAGTCGCCGCTCTCAGAGCCAAATTGGCTTGGGGCACCGCTGGGCTGCCGACTGCTGGGCCCAGGATGAGCACGGTGACCTGCAAGGAAGGGCACAGCGCCCTCAGCGTTTCTACAGCAGATCTACTGTTGCCGATGCGGCTGAGGAACCATCGGCGCAAGCCTCAGCAGGCGGCTACATCTTGCTCTTTGCTTCTTCTGTAAACATCCGAGTTGCCGGCATGGAGAAGGCTTCTGAATTCCACATGCCGGCGTCCCCTGACGAAGCTGTGCTTTCGGCTGCTTTAAGGACCTGCCGAGGACCTGCCTATTCGTCCGCACCCCAACCTGAAACATCGGAGGTCTCAGCGAAGTCAATGGCCTGCAGCTCGAAGCACGGACAGCGGCAGCCTGGCATGGCCGCAAGCTCGGATGCACTCGGAAACCTTTCCCTAAATGCAATCATCGGCTCTACTTGGCTCGTCGCACTCTGCACATTGCTGTGGGGCCATGCTTCTGAATCGAAAAGTCGGGACGAGGGCTTTGGCCGCCTAGCCTCAGTCCGGGCGGTGTTTGGAAGGGCCCGTCCCGCGCGGCTTGCGCACCCGCGATGAGGAACTGCTGGAGCCTTCGGCGCCTCGGAGCGGAAGTCGCCCAGGCCAAGTCCCCGCAAGAAGGGGGCGGGCACGCGTTTTCTTTCCGCCAGCTTTGCCGGCGCCGGCTTTGGGCGCAAGGTGGCGAAAGGGGCGATCGCCCGCTCGAGGAGACCGGGGCTTCGACTCCAAATGGAAGCTCATGCTTTTGGATGATGCCTCTTCTCTACTCAGGATCACAGAGCTCAATCAAAGAAGCCTCAGGTCACAAGGGCACTGCATGTTTACACCATGCGACAGCCTTATTGACCAAATGATGCCAAGACACGAGAGAATCTAAGGGATCCTCCTCCTTTCCGGACCTCATGATTTCAGGAATAGCCAAGCACTTGCCGCGGACATCCGGAGGTGCTAGCACCTACTGCGTCACGTATGTAGGCGATACCCAGGTAACTGAATCACAAGCAGCTAAGCCAATCAGTTCCGAATCTGTTTTCGTGTTCGTGTTCGGTTCAATCTCTCGGTGCCCAGCCGGACAAGGGCGACCTCCTGCAACAGTGCCGCCTCGCACACCCAGGAGTATCTCTGGCACAGCCACGCTAGGAAACGGTTTGAGTAAAATCTACAAGCATCACCAAGGCTGCAACAAAGTCCAACACACCGATTTCGGCGTTGTCGTCTGGGCCGCGCACACGGACAGTCTGAAGCGTGTCTCGAACAAAACTGACAGGAACACCTCCTTTGCTAACAAACACAGCTGGTCGCACCTTCGGAGTGGATGTCTTGCCTGGGCACAGCTTGCAGTCCATTCGGCACTGGGCATTGCAAAAACACCCTTGGTCCGGTCCACCCGCCTGTAGCCCTGGTGCTTCCACTTGGTCACCTTGCGCTGCTTGAGGCTTGAGACACAGAAGAACCTCCACAACATGTGATGTTGCTGCTTTCGAGAAATCGAGGGGCCAAGGTATCGAGTTCATGTGCTGCGAGGCCAGCATTGACGGCATTCGTCAGTGCACGGCGCAGCCCTGAGGTGGTAAATGCCTCGGCCGGAAGCGCACTCCAAGTACCACTTTCCGAAGACAGAGGTATCGGGCAGATCACCGACACGATTATACCATCAACTGCTTTCATAACCAACCTCAGCTCACTGCCTTCTTGGCACCACCAGCCTCTTGAAAAATCCTGCTGCTGAAACGCTGCGACCAGTTCCTGTCTGGAAGCAAATGTCAACGACTTTCCAGTCCTTGCAACCGCCTGCAATGTCTCTTGAGCTTCTGAGGGACTGTAGCCTCGGATTTCCAACGACTCATGAGCATATCCAGCTCTGGAGGCCTACATGAATGCGACCCAGAAACGGTCAAAGTCCATCCTCACTGACAACGATTCAAGGCGCTTATGAACTCAGCAAAACTGAGAGCACGGACAAACCCCACACCGAGGGTCCTCATGAAGCCTTCCGGTGGCACTGCGAGCTCGCCGTCTGCAGCTGCGAGGCGAAACGCGCCCTCCACAGCTAAACGCTTCACTCGCACGTCCTCAGCACACCGGCAAGATTTTCATCGGACGAACTCTAAGGAGCGAAATTGGGCTTCAAAATGCCAGTCTCCGTCGAGCTGTCAGCACATCGTGCTTAATTATTCAAAACACATCACGCAGCTGGCTGCGGACAAGCTGCCACTTCACTTTGTACGTGGCAATGGTCCTGGCCGGAATTTCTGCTCTCTGACACCACAAACACGGACAGCGTCCTTTGCTAGCTGTGCGACGGGATGCCACACACACCCTACAAGTCTCTTCGTACCATAGCCGAGGAGCCTCGCCATCCATATCTCTGCAAACACAGCGCCTGCACTCCGTTCACAGCATCTCTCTCTGTCTTCGGACTGCCATGCACTGTCCCGAGCCAGCATCACCCAAGCCTTGAACCTGGCGGCGCATCCTTCAGACGAACTGGGTTCGAAATTTCCATGGAGGGTCTCGCATTGACCTGTCAGAGCAAGCATGGCTGGGTGCCCAGCTTCCCTAGCTACACCACCCTGGCTGCAAGTTGCATGTAGCACCTCCAGCAGCCAGGGCTGAAGGTTTTTGTCCAGCAGCACCTTGTTGACGACTCAGCACGTCTCTTGACCATGCGGGGCAGATTATGTTTTCGTTGCAAAATCATCAAGTGTCCGACGTCAACGCCGAGGATCTGAAAGCAGTTCGGAGCATACCTTGAAGGAGCTGCTTGAGAATTCCAATTCCAGCTGGGATATAGCTTTGGAATCAGGCTCACCTATGGCCGTTGCTTTCGTTTGCTCGAAAGTGCAGAGTGCATTAGGGAGTACTCGGGACCACGCTCGTCATCAGGCTCCTCCGCATCCTGGCACAAGGACCCTCCGCTCTCGAGTCTTCTGTGTCAATGCAGCCTTTCTGCACCATGCTCACAAGCGCTGCCAGACCATGGCCCACGAATCGCGCATGGAACGGGTTCACATCAATAGATTCAATAGGTCAGCTGCGAACTGCTGTGGGGCATTTTGCTTAGCTGAATCTGTGCTGCTACGAGCCGCACCTCCTCCTCGTCATCTTCCTCCTCGGAGACTTTGCTCTTTTTGGGGGACTTAGACTTGGCCTGGCGAAGATATGTCATGCAGGCACGTGAACAGAGCAGCTGGCGGGAAGTGCAGACTCCGCCGCAGTCAGCGCTGACTAATGACTACTGTCGCCGTCGTGCCTTCTTCTTTCTCTTCGGCTTGGCTTCTCTGGCCACTCGATCATACGTCACCTAGGCCAAAGAACCTTCCCACCAAATCTAACAGTTGTGCTAACTCCTGAGAGCTGAGTCCCTGGATTCTAGCCCGTGCGAATCTGTTCACAAACTTCGGCTTCTGTCCGACACAACCATGTAAAGCTCGGGCACCTTCAGCACGGGAACCATGGCCTGGCAGGCCAAGCTTTCAGGAGTTCATCCGCGCCGCACCTGCAACGCACCTGCAACAGCACAGCGCAGACCTCTTCGCAGGCAGCGTAGAGCTTCGACTGAGCAAACCAAAGAATGCAAACACAGCCCACGTGAAACAGCTCGCGGACACATGCACATGCACAAGCACCTCATCGAAGGCGCGGCCTTCGCTGGCTTCTTGAGCTGCTATCTGGCTCAGCCTCAAGGCACCCTCCAACCATACCGGAACAGCCTGCCTTGAAAAATCGACGACAACAAGAAGATCGAGAAACCCGACGGTCTTCTCCAACGCGCAGACACTTAAGTTAGTTGCCTTAAGGCAAGATCGGGTTCTGGCGATACTGACTTTCCGGGGTCACCATGCTTCGGTCCTGCATCTCGACAGTACATGCACAAGAGTACGTTGCCTTCGACACCCTCGCGAGCAAACTAGGGGATCCCCGAAGTGCCGGCCGAGTGAACCAGCTTCTACAGTGTCGGGGCAAATTGCATCTTCTCCAGAGAACTAATGTAAAGCCGACAGAAACAAATAATGCAAAAGGCTTGGTCACAACCGACAGGTATTGCCTCCGAGCGACAATGTGCCAAGCGGCCTCTTGCTCGCCTGAGTTTGCACGTCGAACGGATCCTCGTCCTGCAATGCTGAACGCGAGCACCCTAAGTTTTCTCGCAGAGCGTGGCCCCTCCTTGAACAAGGTCGACCTGAGCTCGGCGGAGCCATGTTCCAGTTGAACAAAGAAGCATAGTGAGGCGGAGTAGAAGTAGTCGTCGTGCAGTATGAGGAGCAGCAGCAGCGGCAGCAGCAGCACTGGAGGTGGTCAGCTAGAGCAGCAGCAGGGGGAAGAGTAGGATCAGAAGGAAGAGGACGAGGAGCAGGAACGAGGAGGAGCATAAGCTCAACAGCAGCAGTAGTGCAATTCGTATGAGCAGCCGGAGTGCGATGATGTTGTGCCGCATGTGTTTCTGCTATGCTAAGGTGATGATGATCATGATCATGAATCATGAACATGATCATGCTCAGGATTAGGATCAGGATGAGGATCAGGATGATGCTGATGCTGATGCGGATGCTCGTGAGGTGGCGGCGGCAGTGGTGGCCGGTCATTGTCATGTTGGTGATGATGATCGCAATGAGGACGATGGCATCTGGTACTTCATGTAATTTAGTAATGCAGTTTGCTCCTGTTGTATGATATCATACGCGTCAGTACACACTCCTGTGCGTGAATGGACAGATGGTACAGGAACCTCCTTAGGCATCGCACTACTGTGCTTCTGTAAGTGAAGTTGCGATTTTCAGACAGCGGAGCACCTGGAAAGACATGCGAAGTACAGCCTGCAGGCAGTAAGCAACTGACTTCTTGTTCACGGAGTAGTTTGTGAGATGCATGTAGACCTGCCGGAGCTCATGCATTCAGCTGCACGTCAATGATTGAATCACAGTTTTGCACCAACCGCCTCATTTGCGTTTGCCGCGGTCGGTTCCTCATACTTCGCGGTGCAGAATCGCGCCAAGCCTTCCTGCATGCGATTTGCAGCAAGGCAAGGGCTACCACAAGATTCCTTGACGGCTCCTTGCACATGTAGGCATCCAGTGGGTCCAAGGAGGTCACCTTCGGCTCTCACCAAATTCTCAGCAGAAGCCGAAGGGCAGGGCAGGGGTATCTGTACTTCGGGTAAGACTCGATGTGCTATCAGCCGAAGGGCAACCACGTAGAGCCGAAGGTCGAACTTCAAGCCGTCCAAGAGCAGCGGCTCGGGCAAGTAGCGTTGAGCCAGGGCCTCTGGGTGTCTCCGCTACGTTTGCCAGCATCGTGCGGAGGAGCCGAGTCTCGGGCCCCGAAACCTGCACCGTAGTGGGCCTCGGCAGGATGATGCTACAAAGCTCGCGGCATGATCTTTGCAACATCGCGCCTTAGCAGAGAGCTTCAGCCGAAGGCTGGCTGCATCTTGCACTAGGAAGATGCCCTCGCCTGTCAGACATGCAGAGGCCTCCCCAAGCGCGCTCCCAAGCGCCCTCCCGCCGGACGGGACGCGGGGGGCCTTGAGAGCCTCCTTCCGGCTTCACGATCACGGTGCTGCCCTGGTCAAGCCAGGGGGAAGCAGCCTAAGCAGAGTTTCAATCGATTCCCACGCCTTGTGCTTGTCCAGCCACTGGCACAGCTCGTCGGTTTCGGCGGGCAAAAGCCAACCTGCGCTCGCAAAATGTTGCAAAAGCAAACCTACCACCCATCCAAAAAGCTGTGTCCGGCGCTTTTGGGCCAAAACCGGAACTTCTGCGGCCACAACTCGGGACAAAGCTTGTGTGTTGTGCCACCGCGGTGCTCGAAGGCTGTTCGCCATGCAATATCAACTGGGGACCATGCCTTTTGCAAAAGGCGGAGCGCCAGTGCCATATTCACCTTGTCGGAGAGCTTTCTAAGGTCCCCACAACTCGAGCAATAAAATTCGATGACGGGGGAGAAGCGTAGCAGCAGTCGGAGTCGGAGTCGGTGTGAGTTTGAATTAACGAAGGCCGACTTGACTAACATCGCGGGCGCAGTCATCTTGGAGACAAGAAGAAGCAGAAGAAGCGATGATTAGTGATGCTGTCACTCGCGCTGCCGGGTGCACAGCAGCCTTCTTGCCTCTAAGCCCGAGGCTTTGTCGCAGATGCAGCCCATCCCAGGAAGCCGGTTGACCTCTCTGTCGGCGGCTGGGATCGACAAACACAAGTGGCCTCCCGTCCAAGACAAGCGCCTCAGAAGATCACCGACTTACTCCACCAACCTACCTACATGCGTACTTGCCAGCAGATGTGCAGGAAGACGAAACGCGGTTGCTTCAGAAACAGCCTGATCTCCTGTCCCTCCAAGCCGAACCCTAAACGGCCCAAAACCCTAACCCTAACGGCCCTAACACCCAACACTCTCACCCCCCGAGCTGCTGCCCAGAAGCCCAGGCTGAGCTTGGCAGCCGTGGCACCTTCTCCTTGCACCAGCAAACACTAGTGAGCGCAGACACGCTTCGGCATCTCCAAAGTTCGGCTCTAAGGGACGTTCACTGTTGACGAGGGTCCGTTGCTCCAGGATGGCAGAGACGCTGCAACAGAGCCTGTCCGCTCCAAACCTTGATCCAGCAAGGCACGGCGGGGCCATCCGCGATCCCTACCTTCCTCCCTGCATGCTAGTCATTGCCAAGCGCTCGGCAAAGTAAATCTTGGCAGTTCCGGAAGCATCCTCCACTTGCTCCCAGCAAGCGTCCTGCGTTGAGCGCGGGATGCTACGATTGAATTCTGCGTTCATCCCAGCCCCCCTCCTCGCCGCAGACTATGTCCAGCAGCGGCTTGCACGAGCGCCGCAGGCAAGCACTGGAGCTTACGCGAATGCCTCCCTTCCTGAGCTGGCTTGGAGAGTGCAGGGCTTACGGTTCTTCGGGGGGCGGACATACTCCGCTGAACAGTGCCGGCAGGTCGCTTCTTGCGGGCTTTGCTGGTCGAGGCCTCCGAGCTGCCTGCACCTGTCTGGAGGTCGGCTGAGAAACTCGCAGAATCTGCCTGGCTGCTCCGAGAGCCGCGCCAGTCGGAGTCTCGTTCTCCCGCTTCTTCTGGACGAGGTGCCTGATGATCCACCTCGCTTCTCCAGCTGAGACTCCGTATGTCTATCTGTTGCGGCAGAAGGGGAGGCTTTGTCAGAGGCTGCAAAGGAACGAACCGCCGGGTCCCCCGCTGGTATGGGTCCGAAGGCTCTGCGGCTGCAAGCTGTCGCACAAGATCCGGCAGAAGCTCATCAAGACCATGTGCCTGGTCCAGGCAAGCGGTCGCGAAGAGAACAAAAAACATGACGAAACACAACATCACTTGCATGAAAGACGCTCCTGGTGCTACGCAGGCAACTACGAGTAACGACTCCTAAACCGCTGAGCATGCCCAGAGACTCACGGCAGAGCCCGCGCCTTGAAGTAGGGACTCCAAGCCTTCACAGGGCAATCGGTGACGCTGCGGCACGGCTTCATTTCAGAGTTGCGTTTGTAGTTAACCAAAGTGGAGGGCACATGCTGAAAACAAGGGCCTCGCCTCCCCCGTCGTGCCATCACCTGGTGCCAATACTCTCAAACTTTCCTAACTTCTTTCGGTGACTCTAAGTCTAAACCATTCGGGTCTGACATGCGGCCACAGAGACGGGGAGAGCATGAGATAAGCATGGGAGTGGCTTGCACAAGAAAATCAAGCGATTCGCGTGCAAGATCTCAGCTCGACACCTGCGGCTTCGGTTTCCTTCGCTTCGACGGCCCCTGCCGCAGTCCGCAGCACCTCTTGCTGCTGTCAGATGCCCAGAACATGAGATTTGTAGGATTGAGCACCAACCTTCACAGCATCCGCGCCGGACCCGGAGGCGATCTCAGGCTTGTGTGAGGAGGGTGACCTTTCTCCGCGGACTTCGAGAAGAGGCTGCGACATAAACCGACTCGGTCGGATGAATAACACACTGACTGACATGCTGGCAGGCGGCGAGGGCAGGACAGGCGAGAGCGAGACATCATCTTGCATGCCCTGACGACGTACAGGCTGGCTTCTCTGCAGATGCTGCTGCTTGTGCGCTTGCAGTTGCAGTTGCAGTTGCAGTTGCTCTGCTGCTTCTGAGTTTGCTACGAGTACCCCAGCGATGGTTGCGACTGCTTGAGCCAGAGCAGCCCGCGCGATGGTGCTGGATCCCACCGGGCGGAGTGCCTTCAAAAGGGAACCCCGGGTCCGACTTCTCTTCGCGCATGTCGATACGAGACTGTGTTATTGGCAGGGAGGTGTCCAAAACACGAGGGCAAGCAAACCAGCATCTCCGTGTGGAGACGATGTGATGGCAGATGCCGTGGTCTGGATGGCGCTCAAGCAGGCGACCGATGCCCGACCACTGGTGCAACTCTCGCGAGTAGAAGCGAGTCCAAGTCAACAGCCTCTACTAATGTGGCAAAAGTAGGGCTGAACACATGCTTAGCCATGCAACTTGGCATATCCATCTGGATGGAACAGGCTGGAACCGAAGCGCAGCAACAAACGGCTGCGCAGGATTCGGATGTACATGTGACGGACCCACGAAGCAACACAGCTCTTGCAGCTGTGCTTCCGCGCATCTCCGCGTTGAGACTGCCATTGCCTGACGAGCGTGAGCATCCTTCGGGAAGGAGTCGGCACCCCCCCGAGCTCGCCTTCCGAGCGCTGCCAGATGGCCAACTGCGCGGCACCAGCGCACATCGACCCGAGCGTCGGTGGGGGCGCCCCGGCCTCACACGGAGGCAGGCAAGGCGTGCGAGGCCGCGAGCGCGCATTAAGTGGCACCTCCTGCAGGGCACAGCTGGAGAGCGCCAGCAGCCTCGGCGCCGCGCCGCCCCGGAGCAGGCCCCGAGCTGCTTCCTCGGCACGAAGCAAGGCTGTCTATGCGCTGTGCTGGGCTCTGGGAATCTGGGGCGCCGACGGTGAGGGCCTCTGAGCCTGACGAGATCCGGTCCAGCGGCACAAGAAGCAGAAGCGGCAAACGGTGGCCTTCGTCCGCGACAAGCTGCGACCAGCCCTGCAGCCTCGGCCGGAACGGCTCTGAGCGACTTCGGACTGAAGAGCCCGAGGCCCGATCAACAGCGCCACGTCACAAGGTCTCAAAGTCGTGGCGATCCTGAGAGCTCACGCTGACTGCGCTGAAGCACACCAGGGGAGAGGCAGTGAGTATGTCGGAGCCAGGGTAAACTCCCTAAAATCATGGATCCCAGTCACTTCCACCCAGCGAGCGGGCCCGACCTGGGCACACGTCCCAATCAGCAAAACCGCGCACCCCCATGACTCTGCTCACTTGCAACTTCCCTTATCTCGGCTTCTGCTGGTAAAGCGGACGAGCAGCAAGATAGGCTCAGCAAGCAAAGATGTTGCATTCACGAGACACACGTCGCTAATCGATAAGATTGCTCTGACACAAGCGTCAAAGAGGAACGGTGGGCAGCAAGCCAGCTTAAGCCCCTTCGCAAGGGTGAACGTCGCCAGATCCCATCAACATCCCCCTCATGATCATGAGCCGATATACATGTCATGCCAAAATCTACGAGAAGCGATCGGCAAAGAACCCGAGACCCTGCAAGCCTTGAGCTGGAGACTGATGCGCGTGATGGCTTGCAAACCCGGGAACGCGTAGAAAAACCCAATTTAAGGGATTGGTGGCTAGCACATCCTGAAAACCAAAGGCTTGACAGTCATTTTGCTGCTCCGAGGAGTGGGGCGGCAAAGCCGGGCTGGTCACGAGAGATGTGCATCACGAAAAGCTAGTCGGACCAAAGGAGGCCATCGTCGGTCATCACCAACATCATCGTCGGTGCTCCCAGCTTCAGCATCACCCTGACCACCACCCGCACCATCACCACAGTACTCGAATTGCTCTGACGGGGCTCCTTTTGGGGCCTGGGCGCGAGCGCTTCCAGCGCTGAGGATGCAAGCGGCGCGCCCGCGAGCGCTTTGAGCGAGGCGATGCCTCAGCTCGGTGTCTCGGGAGGATTTCTGAACTTTGTGCGCTCAAAACCGTGTCACGTCAAAGGTAATACTTCCTTTGTGCTGTGTTTCCGTCTGCTGGTTTCTTGTTTCATCTCGTGCTAACGGACCATATTTTGGTTGGATTGGATTAGATTAGACGGATAGGACTGGAGAAGATAAGCTTCGGTTTAGATTGGGTGAGGGGCACAGAAAGCTCGACCAGATTAGATATCACTATCTTATATCATGCGTTCGTTGCGCTAACGGTGACTTGGGGTTTCGATACGGAGGGGAAAGCACGATTTCGACAGCAGCCGTGATTGCAAGAAAATGAAAACGGACCCAGACGATGCGATTCATGGAAAACAGAAGAGCTTCTGTCATGTCGCAGTTATCCTGGGAGCCTTCTCCTGGCGACTGTACTGCGGCATCTTTATATGGGACGCTTTGGGATGGTATATCGCGGGACCGTGGTGTCATAATGAACTAGTGACGAGCTAGTGTTCCTCTTTGTCACTCCAAGAACCTCAGCACATGATCGTTCACCCGTAGCATCTGATTTCGGGAGCTGAGCATAGGACTCTTCACGGCGGAGCAAGCCTTCGGCGGTTGCAACAACAAGGGCATCGAAGCAGTGACCTTTGTGCACCGCTTCTCAGCCCTGGCATCTTCCGGGCCTGCGCTGGCCTCAAACTTGGAACCCTCTCCACGAGCTCCTCCAGCAGGGCACCAACCTCGGACAAGATCAGATCAGGATTTCTAAGGCGTTGGATGGAGAGAGACATGCGAGCACAACTCACCATCACATGAGTACAGAGATCCGCGCGAACTGCTGTGCGCGGCTTCGGCTTCGGTGCCGCCGCCTGCAAAAGAGAGATCCACTTGCCCGAAGCAAGCGGCCTGCTCTTTCGACGGACATGTTGATCGAGCTAACGGCTGTCGAAAACTCTTCGGTAAATGTAGGCATCCAGCGGCAGCTGTCCGGTCGCTGAAGTGAGTGCCCTCTGCCTGAATTTTCCGTAGCGCGATTATACAGTCGTCAAGGAAGATAAAGAGGACGGAGTGATCTGAAAGAATTCGCGTCAAGAACTGCCAAGTAGCACTCAGTACCCTGCGCAGCAGGGTCGCTGCTGCTGCTGCCACCAGCCAACAAGCCCGCACCTGGCACGAGTTACAAGTGTCTGGAAAGTCTGTGTCGTGCAGATACATGATCACGCGGTCCGATTTCCGCGTAATTGCGAATTTGTTGCAGGCTGCAGTGCTGCAGTATGCTCCCGAGCAATGAGCTTCCACATCCAATCGTGGCACGTCCCACCGTCAGCAGCTGCATAGCGGAGAGCCTGCGTGTGGGGCACCAAAGTGGAGTTACGACGGCCGACGATATGGCAGGTAGCAAGCCACAAGCCCCCTCCAAGGCACGAACTCCTGCCGAGGGGCTAATACCAGCTGTCTCGTGTCCAATCGCGACACGCGCCGCTGGAAGTCTTAGCGTGTCCGGTGTATCAAGAAACTGCCGAGATTCTGCCCAACTTCACGGGATACATGCTGACGGCACAGGTTTTGCACCATTGCCAGGCAGCTTTCCGGCGAGATGTGCCAAAGTACTGGAACCTAACACGCTGGCATGCGAAATCAGGAAGAGAGGCGTTCCTGAACTTCTCTGAGGCAATGGCCGGCGGCGACTTCTGGTACATCGGCCTCTGACTCAGACTTTCACGCAGAAAGCTCACGGGCTGAATCCAATGCCCAACCGGAGAGAAGTGTGACATGGAGACGAGGAGGGAGGAGCAAAAACTCGTGCCCCAAAGGCCAACCAAGCCCACCAAAACCGAGCTAAGCTCCCTGCGGAGACATGGATGGCGGCCGTGCCGAAGCCAAGCTGTGACAAGCTCCAAACACAGACACTCTGCACATTTAGGGGTCTAGGATCAACGTCAATGAAGCTCAAGCAGTGGATGACACCCTTTGCCCCATGTCAGGCATCCACAACAGGCCTTGCATCTCCTGCGTCTGGCACCGATTCCAGCGCCCCCGTGAGCTCCTGGACTCGAACCCTCAGTGCATCAGGCTGCCGCAACACCTTCAACATGATAGTCGGCTGCGACTGTCAGAGTGCAATGGTTTGATCTTTTCCACCTTGCCACTACTCTTTGGCCATCTCTGGTCCCTTAGAGACCTCGACGTGGCACTCACCGCATTTCCGGCGAGGTGGGCATGCTGCCTCTAACGCAGGGCAGGGGGCCATGACAGCGCTGGGACTCCCGTATAACTGATGGCGAGGCATACGGTAGCAGCTGGGAAGCGCGACCGCTAGGTCTGACACTTCAGAATACGACCTCCAGCATCGCGATCAGAGCGCAGCAGATCTTTGGACAACTCGTCTGGATCTCTCCAGAGGCTAGACTGAAAACTGGAAATTGAAAACAGGTGCTTGCCTCTGCAACTTATGCTTTGGCTTTGAGTCAGGAGACTTCAATTGTCAACTGCCCCTTGTCCTCGATGTCCTTGGCACAGGCTGACCTTAGACGCAGGGATGCAGGGATGCACGCAACGCCCAAGCCCCAAAACATCCAGTCCAGGCGAGTTGCAAGACCATCTTCATGCCAGCCTGCTCCTGAGTCGGCGCTCCATGAGGCAAAGGCCTGAAATCCTCACGTCACCATCCTCCTCATCTACCTCTCTCTCTCTTCTATTCTATTCTCCGGGGCATAGGGTGCGAGTTAGGCACCCCGCGCCGAGAGGCGCACCCCTGTTTCGGGGCTTTGTAGGGGTAGAAGAAAGTATGGATGCTCTCTCTCTCTCTCTCTTTCCGGGCCTGGCTTCTCGCTTCCTTGGGATAGCCGATGCGCTGCAGCTGCTCCGCGGCCGCCAGGAGCGACGCGCCCAAGGCGTCTACTGCCCCCGCGGGGCCCGCTTCGCCCCCTTCGGCGATCGGCTCCGACTCCGCGCACTTCGCGGACTCCGGAGCCGGCTCTCTCTGCGCTGCCTCGGACTCGGACCTTTCATCCAAAAATGACAAGAGCAGCTTTCGGCAACAGGGAAGATCGTGCGGCCCTCCTCCGGCCCCGGCCTCTTCGGAGACCAGGTGAGTGTGAGACCGACAGCCGCAGCGCAGACTTGCAGCGCCGCTGCGAGCGGAGCTTCACCACAGTGCTGAAGCACCGTCGGAAAGAGCCTCTGCAAATCTGCTTAAAAGCCGGGACGAGCGATGGTCTCCAATTCAGGCAAGCGGCCCTTGATGTCCGAGGATCAGCAGCGCAGGGCTCGGAATCACGCAGAGCACCGTCGCCACCCGGGCGGCTTCGGCATCGGGAGGCCCCGGCTCCGCAGCAGCTCCCACTTCTGGCTCCCTTGGTCGTGCATCATGTGCCACCACTAGAATCTATCTCTAGAATGGAAGGCCCCCATTCGACCACCGAACTGCCAGGCTGCAAGATTCTCCGCGCGGTGCTCAGCACACCTCGCGGACCTTTCAGCAGCAACTCCTGGCAGCTGGAGGCGAAGCTGGACCACTTCGCACTGCCTACTGACCGTTGCAGATGTTCATCGTGTGCTCCCGCTGTTGTGCTCGGACATATCCAGAAAGATCACCCAGCCCCGAGGCTCGTCCTGCGTGCCAGGCCACACTGCCACAGTTGCACGCAAATACAACCGACTCTGACTCTGCAATACTCTGCAATCCTACCACATACGCATCCTACCGCATTCCATTCGTGCCGCCTGGGAGGATGGGCACGACCTTCAGCTCAGACGCCTTGTTGAGCTGCGCTCCTTTCCAGAGGTGCTTCCAGAGCTCCTGCAGCAAATCTCAGCACAGAGCGACTGCGCGGGTCTTCAGAAAGCTGGCACGGCCTCCATGAGGAAGGCCACCTGTGTGGTTCCGTGGTATTGCAAAAGAAACCACGGCTCGGCGAGGGCCAATCCCAAAGCGACCTTGCAATAGGCTGACCAAAGCAAGGACGGGCTTGTGCCGCAAACGACATTTGCCGAGGGACACCCGCTTTGCCACATTCGCACAGCCGCAAGAGAATCATCCTGCGGGATGTGGCCCCGGCGTTGCGAAACTTGCATCATGGGCTGAATATGCATGAAACCCTTGCAGAAGCCCTCTTATCACGCTCAAAGCCAGGCCCCTGCGTCCTTGAAAGGTGTTCACTTAACACGCCTGCTTCAGTGAGAGTCAACCAGGCCCGTATGCAGCGATGAAGATCTACGCGCGTCTTCAGGGAGCCATCGTCGTTCAACGGCCGAACGGACCGCAAAAGCTTCAACAGGTCGGCATCCTTCATAATCTTGGCTTTGGCCTCACATGGATTGCAACAGCCGTCCTTTCGCTTTGGTCACCCGTAGCACTGTAGTGCAGGACCAATAACAGGAACTTACAAAAAAACTTCCACACACACACACACACTTACACGCCGTACTTGCTGCGCTTACTGGAGACTGGCCCTTTGATGAAAAATCGTTCTGTGCATTTACGGGGGTGACTAAGTGCTGACTTCAATAAGGAACTATATGTTTGTGCGGCTTGCCATGCACCCACCGAATCGCATGGTCCTACATCTTTCTCATTGTCAGCTCTTGCACCGACTACTACTACTACTACTAC